GGATAATTTTCACTATATTTCTATTGACCCGTTCCGCTATATTTGATTGCGGCCGATACGGGACCATTTTTAAATGACGTATGCCCAGTTTTTGGCACATGTCTTCAAATACATTACTTACAAATTGAGGACCATTATCCGATATAACTTTTAGGGGCGCCCCGTATTTTAAAATATATTTATTTAAAATAGAATCAGTAACTAATTTCGCGGAGGCTCGTTTTAAGGGAACAATTTCGGTCCATTTACTAAAATGATCAACCATAACAAGGAGATAGCGACTTTTATTTAACTGACTTTTGGGAAAGGGCCCAATAAATCGATGCCAATTATTTCATTTGGAAATTCGGATTTAATACTATTTAGAAACCCGGCCGGGCGGAAATTAATATAATTAACTGCTTGACATGTTGGGCAGGACTGGACATACGCCCTTGTTAACTTTTGCAGTTCAGGAAAATAGACTGCCTCGCGTACGCGTTGGATAGGTTTTTCGAATACCAGCATGAGAAGCTAAAGGGCTGTCATGGAGCTCCTGCAGGATATTTAATCTAAGACTAGCTGGGATAACAGGTCGAAATTCGTTGTTGGAATTCGTAGTTTTTGTATAAAATAATAGACCATCTATTAGTTCGTAATGGGCCGCCCTATTTCTTATCGCCACAATATCTTGGTGGCTAAAATTTTCAGGATCCTTTAAATACTCATAAATGCTTCCAAACTCAGGATCCTTACCCAGTTCGGTTATTACAGTTTCTCGGGAATTTATTGTACATGCTGTGAGCATTGCCACCTTTACGGTATTACCTTCTTCATCTATTTTAATTCTGGATAGGGCATCTGCTACGATATTTTCCTTTCCTTCCGGGGGTATGCTTGATTACCAGATTATATTCTTGTAGCTTGAGTGCCCATCTTATTAACCTTGGGATAAGTTTTTCCTGAGTACAATCTAGTTACCGTACCGCCGCATGATCAGAGTACACTGTTATTGGCGCCTTTCCAAAATAGACTCGGAACTTTTGCACTGCTAACAGAACTGCAAGTGCCTCTCTCTCGGTCGCGGAATAGTTTCTTTGTGTTTGATTTAAAGTTCGGCTAAAAAATGCCACGGGCTGCTGATTTTGCGAAAGTACCGCTCCTACCGCATAATCCGAAGCATCCGCTGAAATTTCTAAATTCTCATCCTTTTCAGGAAATTTCAACACAGGGGCTTGCGTTAATGCTTGTTTTTAATTTTTCGAAAGCACTATTGGCTTCGGCCGTCCACGAGAAATCTTGCCTTTTTCCTTTTTAATTTTAACAATGGTTCAGCAGCAATAGCTGCAAAATCTTTTATAAAGGACCTATAATATGAACAAAGTCCTAGAAAAGAAGAGAGCTTCTTTGCCGTGTTTTGGAGTCGGATACTTTTGTACAGCGATTATTTTTGATTCGTCTGTCTCTATTCCTTTCTGAGATATTTTGTAACCTAAATATTTTAATTCAGGGGCTGCAAATTTGCACTTTTCGACATTAACTTTTAGACCGGCCTCATTTAATAAAGAAAACACCTGTCTTAAATCCTGTACATGTTGGTCGAGATTATCACTAGTAATAATGATATCGTCTAAATAGATAAATGTGGACTTTCCATGAACAGGTCTTAACACAATGTCCATACATCGCTGAAATGTTGCCAGCGCCCTGAAAGGCCAAACGGCATACGCAAAAATGCATAAGTGCCAGACTTGGTTATAAAAGCAGTCTTAGGCACGTCCTCAGGCCTAACCCCTATTTGAAAATAACCAGTCGTTAAGTCTAAAGTCGTCATATATTTGGTGGATGTTATGTTCCTTAGAATTTCTTCAATAATAGGTAACGGATATACCGGATATTTAGTTATGGAGTTTAATTTACGGTAATCAATTGCGAATCTCCACCTTTTTGGATGTGTCAAAGGATAGTCATTATTTTTCTTACATAAAACCACCGGGCTAGCACAACTACTTGAGATGGGCGTTATGATCTTTTTACGTAGCATATCGGTGATATGCCATTCTATAATTTTTTTCCTTATTCTTATCATACCGGTATGCTTTGTGGCGAACTGGCATTGAATCTCCGGTGTCAATACTATGGTTAGTAACCTGAGTAAATCCTGGAATATCACTAAATAACGAAGCAAATTCACTTACCACTTGTCGGATTCTTCCTTGCTCGTCATTAGGCAGGTGGTCAAGATTTAACATCGGCGGTTCAGCCTTTTCTTCACGAACTGGTTTCATCGTCAGCTTAAGGGACGCTTCATTAAAATCCAGCGTTGCTTGTGCCTCTGAAAGAAAATCTATTCCTAAAATAATATGTGCTTGCAGATTCTTTACTATGAAAAACATCACCTTTACTTGTTCGTCCTTGATACGGACATACAGCGGTAATTTACCTATATACACTTACATAGTTCTCCTTGCGCCGCTAACACTGTCGTATTATCCGAATTATATATGCGGTATTTACGAAAAATACTTCCTAAAAAATCTTCTGCCACACAGGAACACTGCGCGCCTGTATCCAGGAGTGCGGTGGCTGGGATATTATTCACCAACACTTCAATCTTCGGAAGAGTCAAATTTTTCACCATTACTACTGTATTTAACTTGAAGGAAGAGGGGTTTTCGTGGCCTTCGGATTTTCGCACCCTCTCGTCAGCAGAAATCCGTTTTAGTTTAAATTATTTTTCATTTCCGTGCTTCCCTTCTTTTTCCACTGGCCTTGAGACTTTTTTCCTGGATTGCTATTGAACTGTCGACGTTCGCCGGCTGTTTTTGAATGCTCGGGTTTCCTTGCCCACTGATTCGCTTTGCTTCCGTAGCCGTGTGCTTGAGTTTGCTGTAGTCTTGGCGCACCAAATTGGTTTCTCTGTTGATATTGGCGTCTTCTTTCAACGTCCGCCGTTCTTCTACTTTCAAACTGGATTGCTAGCTCAAATAACTTTTCCAGTGTAGTCGGATTTCTTAATTCAATAAAGTCTTGCACTTGGGGCAGTAACCTCGGCAAAATCACTTGAATTATCTCAGGATCCGGACGGTTTCCATACAAGAGTTTGAAGACGTGAATTTTTCTTAAAATAAAGCTTGAGAGATTTTCGATTCTTTGTTGATATATGCTGAAAAGTTCCGTTTCTAATTTCGCACGATCCCTTACGACAGGGAAGGCTTTTACTAGGGCAGTCTTGAAATTCTCGTAAGTATAGGTGGGACTTCCTGCTTGACCCAAGAGACTTCTGCCTATACATTTGAACCAGTTAAGCGCTTGGCCCCTCAAAGCGCTGGTAGCTAAGGTAACTTTTTGAAATTCGTGCACGGGGTAGAGCATGAAGTGGTCATCCAATTTTTCCAAAAAACTGGTTACCGGTGAGTTTCCATTAAATGTTGCTTCTGGTTTCATCGAAGCGCGCATGGTCTGGACGATGTAACCAAATCCTTCCAGGGCGGCAGCTGGCATTTCTGGATTCTGAGCCGCTTCTGCAGGCAGCACAGGTTCTTCTTGAAACTCGGCCATGGTTATTCTTCTTCGTTGGGCGCCACTATCAGGTTCAATGTTCCGTCTTTTCTTTCTTCGGGAACATGCAAGGACCTGACTCGGAACAGAGAGCTTACTAAAGCTATGTTCAACCACTGTGGGAAGTAGACAGGATACACAAGAAGGTATACAAAACCCTTTATTTTTCTCTATTTACAATAACTTCCGTACTTCGGAATACACAGACCCGCTACTTGTGGTCTAACGTAAAAATATAAAAATAAAACTAAACTCTAATTTAACTTTAAAATAATAAACGTGGAAGATTGGCCTTATATTAACAGGAAGCCGTATGTAGTACAGAGAACTGTGAACACTACAATACGTTTAAAAATTATCAAGAGGATTAAAACCTCTGGCCTGGAAGGCAACCAGCAACCGAGTAAAGCTTCTAAGGTAAGCGGCCTGCTTCGACTCACTGCTTCCTCTCTCTTGCTTGGCAAAAAGCCACAACTTAAACACTTGGCGTTCGCCAGACAAACTTTGCATAAATACATTAACGCTTATAATTCTGGCCGGAAGTAGAAAATAAGAAGTGATAGTAAAGATTTAAAATAAAATAAACGTTAGTAAAACTTAAGATCCTTACAATGTTTTCTTAACACATTTCTCATATTATTTAAACATGTTAGTAAATGAAACGCATATTACCAGGTATGTTAAATGTATGCTAAATACACTTTGCGATTCTGAGCACCGTTTATTTTTTATGGTTGTGAATACAATTAAAGTATGTAAATATTGTGTACTCCTCTTAACATTAAACTGACTGAATACAGCTCTGATATGTTAGGTGTTAGTTACACTAACTTATTGAGAGTGCATATAATTTATTTCTATTTATGGAAGAAATGTACGAAATAATATCATTCGAGACAGCGTTAATTGACTTGCATTTCAAGCAGATTTAAAGCAACATTTGGCCATTTAAGTTTGTACCACAATAAGAGGTAACATAATTTCATACACAGCTTTTAGCCATTCAAATCTATATCTAATTCAATGAAAAGCATTTGAAAACTGAAATTTTGACCTTCTTGATCAAAAGCAGATTACGGTCATGCCACAGAGATCTTATTCGCTACGTTTCGTATGTTCTAGCTAATTTACTCTCTATTAGCGAAATGGTTCTACGAGGTCTAAAATTTCAGGCAATTAAGTGTTATGAAACTGATATGATGGCCGACCAGTGCAGTCTGTGACAGGTACCTAAAGAGGAATTATTCTTCTAATGCTTTCAAAAATGAAATGAGAGTTGGGGTAAATGTTTGTATTCCGATGAATCTTTCTTGAAAGTTGACTAGATTTAACATGTCACATGAAACTGCCCTAAAGATTTTTTGTCAGTTGTTTTCAGTGTAAATTAATGAGGTGTACTTTAAATTGAGAAAATTAGAAGTAATTTAATCTAACAAATTATGTTTTTTTTTCTCTTTTAGTATCCTCGAGGGTGTTAAGGAATGCAACAGAAAAGCCACGGCTGAGAAATGTGGTGAGGAAGCAGCTGCCTTCGTTGAAAAGGCATTCATGATATCTTTTGAAGACGATAATATGACCTTTTGTAACAACTTCGATCCAAACCCTGCGGCTTGTCTGATGTACTCGACTGGATCATCTTTAATTCAAGGACTGTACAGTTATATATTTTATTTTGCTCTTTTCATGTTTATTAGGCAAATTAACTTAGTATCAAATCGATGATCATTTAATGGACATTTTGTCTCTCATTTCCGCTATGTATATATTAATTGCAAATGAAAGTTTGTGCTGCCGTGAATCCCGATAGCACAGCACATTTATTGGTTCCGTATGCTGCAGCTTTGATAAATAATCGAACATATTCTTACCGGAGCTTCGAATTTTGTACACAGCCGTTATTGAGGAGGAAAAGTCTTAGTTTTAAAACCTTAATCTTCTGTCTATTTTGGATATGAACATTCTTTATGTCAACATCTCATGAAAACGCTGATCAGGCTGTCCGGCAACCAGCAGGTCGAGCCCGGGGGCAGATCATGGGCCTACTCTTGGAATGAAAACAAGACTTGCTGTCATGAAGCAACGATACTATCTTGCGTGTGATACTGTGTAGGAATTATTTAAGTTCAGAAAACACAGTACGGAATTCAAGTTAAAAGCACTGGTCAAGCTGTGTAATGCAGTCTGGGAAAAAGAAAACCAAATAATTTTAAACTGCTATTTTTCATATGTCGTATTTCTTTTTCTTATTTAATCTTTTCATTTGGAAAAAACCGAGCATTACATTCTGTAAAATCTTTGAACATCAGACTGAACTGACAACATCTGAAAACTGCATAGCAGATTATCAATCTATTTTATTGTCGAAAATATTAACTTTGGATATTCCAACTTATCGCACATACAGAATGATTTCTTAAAAATTAATTAATTTGATTCTGATTTGTTACTTTTCTGATTCTGATTTATTATGATTGTGAATACAAATAAAGTTTGCAAGCATTGTTGTGCACTCCTGGCATTAAACTGACTGAACATAGTTCTGCTATTTTAGGTGTTAGTTATAGTAACTTATTGGGATTGCATATACAGTGGTGCCTCACTATATATGCAATCCAATATATATGATTGAATATACAGTGGCACACAACGAACTTAATTCGTTCCAGGAGCAAGTTTGTTATGCGAAAAGTTCGTTATGTGAAACGCGTTTTCCCATAACAATACATGTTAAAAAAAAATAATTCGTTCTGTAGCATAAAATATGCTGAGATGACATAAAAAAAGATAAATTTTTTGTTATTATTTTTATTTAGATACATCTAAAAACATAATTAAAAAAAACACGCATTTTTTTAATTTTAAGACAGACTAAGTAGAGTCTACCGAATCTTGCACATCTTCATCCATTTTCTGCTTTTTGGCCGATGGTTTCATGAAAAACCTGTCCAAATTCGTTTGTTTTTCTCTTTTCTCCAACATCTGCCGGAAATAACGGACAAGAGTATCGGAGTAAAGATCGTTGATCCTGTTTGCTTCAGCTGAATCCGGATAGTGGGCATTGGTAAACTCCTGAACTGCTTTCCATTTGACCAGGCTGTTCTTGATGTCAGCAGTTGGGATTGGTTGATTGTTTGATTGTTGCTCCTCGTTATCAGATGACGCTTCCCTTTGAGCATTGTCCTGTTGCTGGACCATAAGTGCTTGGAGCTCGTCAGTTGTCAGCTCTTCTTCGTGTTCCTCAATAAGGAATAATCTTCTGAAAAATAATCTTCTTCCTCTTCCTCTACCTCTAATTCCAACCTTTGGGCTACTGTGATGATGTCCTTCACTACTTCTGTGTCATCAACTACTGCTTCTTCCTGGGTCCACGAAGGCACAAGCATCTTCCAAGCAGAAATGAGGGTCCTTTGTGACACTTCTTCCCAGGCCTTCTGTATAAGTCGTATTGCCATAAGGACATCAAATTTCTCCTTCCAAAACTTTCGGACAGTCATATTGTTTCCACCAAACTCGCATTCTTCAAACAGCTTATTAAAGAGGGTTCTAGTGTAGAGTTTTCTAAAGTTCGCAATAACTTGCTGATCCATTGGCTGAAGAATGGATGTGGTGTTTGGTGGCAAATACTGCACCTTGATAAAAGGATAATTTTCCTGCAATATTTCCTCTAGGTCTTTTGAGTGAGAAGGGGCATTGTCGAATATCAGAAGGGCTTTGAGCGGCAGTTCTTTTTCCAGCAAGAATTTCTTCACGGCAGGAGCAAAGGTTTCCAGAATCCATTCGTTGAAGATAACTTGGGTCACCCAGGCTTTTTGATTGAACTTCCAATGGACGGGCAGTTTGGACTTAATAACGTTATTTTTCTTGAAAATTCTTGGATTTTCAGAGTGATAAACCAATAGAGGTTTGATCTTGAGGTCTCCGCTGGCATTAGACGAAAACATAAGGGTAAGTCTGTTGTGTCCTGGCAATTTCTTCTCCTCTTTTGTAATGAAGGTTCTGCTCGGCATTCTTTTCCAGAAAAGAGCCGTTTCATCGGCATTGAACACTTGTTGTGGGCAGTATCCTTCATCCTTAATACATTTTTGAAAGTTAATAGAGAACTTTGCTGCTTCTTTCTTGTCAGCACTGCCAGCCTCACCATGCATAGTAACGCTGTGAATTCCACACCTTTTCTTAAATCTAAAAAACCACCCCCTGCTGGCTTTGAATTCTTCTTCATTATCTTGATTGCTTCTACTTCCAGGGACGTTTTTCTTTAGATCGTCATAAATTCTCTTGGCTTTGTGACAGATAATATCTTGGGTTGTTACGTCACCTTTCACCTGCCTGTCCTTAATCCAAATCGCTAATAGCCTCTCCATTTCCTCGTGGATTGAAGACCTATGTTTTTCATGAAATAGTTTTGATACTCCGTTGGCTACTTTGGCTGATTTGATTGCATCCTTATTTGTCAAAATGGTGAAAATGATGGTCTTGCTGAGGCCAAACTCTTTGACGAGGTCACACTGTTTTACCCCACATTCACTCCTTCTAATTATTTCCTGTTTCATTTCAACAGAAATCACCTTCCTGCTTTTTTTTAGAAGCCGTGATATAAAAAAAAAATATTGATTTTAACTTAAAAGGACGATATTGAGTCTAACTTAAAAGGAGGTATTGCCGCGATACGTGCTTAAGTTAAGCGCAGTGACTAACGACTGCCTGCAGTGCCTGCGCGGAAGGATGCAATACATCGGCAGCGATCGTGGAAGCTCGGGCGAAGCAGTCGTGGAAGCTCGGACGAAGCAGTCGTGGAAGCTCGGGCGAAGCAGTCGTGGAAGCTCGGGCAAAGCGGTCGTGGAAGCTCGGGCGACTTCGTTGTGTGAAACGAAATTCATTGTATGAATCATGAAATGAAATTCGTTGTGTGCAGCGTTCGCTGTGCGAGGCGTTCTTTATGCGAGGCATCACTGTATTATATTTCTTCAAACGTACTCTCTATAGAAGAAATGTACGAAATGATATCATTCGAGACAGCGTTAATCGTATTGTATTTCAAACATATTTAAAAGCATCTTTTGATTTAAAGTACGTTTAGTAAAATACTTAAATTAGTTATACAGATTAATAATATTATACATAAATGTTATACAGATTTCATTCTTAGGGGTTTTTAATGGGTACGAGGCAGAATAATAAAAAAATTGAGCTATAAATTAAGTACGTAGTATTCTTGTATAGAATGTCACTTAAATAACATTACGACTTGACAAACCAGTTCTCAGCTTAAAATATTAAGTGCCAAAAGGGTAAAGATTAATAGTTTAGTTTATATTAAATGTGTGTGATTTACATTTAGCCCAAAGCTTGACAAAGTGATTCAATGCAAAACGTATTTTATAGAAAGTATCAAAGCTTTTGTCATTTACTGAATATCGTTTTGAAATTGAAAAACAGTGGATATTTGCAAGTGCTTTCATACAAGTAAGTGCAATACTTTGATACAAGTAAGTGTTTTCTTCTTACAGAATTGGAAGGATATTTATATATTATCCCGTTGGCCGAAACGTTGATGGCGAGCAGATTTTAAAATGATTAGGCAGTCCAAGTTCTTAATGGCGGCTAAGATAATAGTAGTTTTTGATTTGTAAACTATAGATCATGCTCTTAAAAATACATAAAAGCATAGTAAAAGTTGTAGGTGAATACCATTTAAACATCAAAATTAATTATATACACATTCTCATTTTGCGTGGGAAAAAGTTCTTCAAAAGCACTTCCCTTTCGAAAGAGTTTAAAAATGGGGAAATTGTCGAAAAATCGCTATTTGTGTTATGTTCCAAGTCAAAATTTGGTCAGATGGCATAATGTATAAGCAACTGCTGAAGCTCCTAAATTTAAATTTGTTGCTAGATGGTCTAAATTTTACAGCAACAAGGCCTCAGTTGCTCACATTTCGAATGAGGCTTGACAATAACTGATACCATGAGCGAAAGAGCGTATCAAAAATCATGGTTTTAGCAGGAGTAATTTCCTTTAAGAACATAGCAAATTTTCCCTGAAAAATTAGTATTTCAGTATAGCAAAAAGGAGCATTACGTGTTGAACATGAAAGGAGAGAAAAACAAAAAAGCAAGATGTATCAGGAAGTCACCTAAAAGTTTCTGTATGGTCGAAATAGCGTCCAGTTCCGCTCTGACAAGTGCTCGGGAGATATCAAAGTGATTTGTCTCTTCCTTGATCGACAGTACGAAAGTTTCTACGATTCATTGTAAAGTGCTATCTACACAAGACCAAGTTCTTTAAGTTTTTCCTCCTGCAGACCCCAACAAACGCCCTGATTTTGCTAATTTATCTTAATTAGAATAGCCGTTGACAGTGCATGGCCTTGGAACATCTTGTGATCAGAGAAGTCACATTTTACCCTAGGCGGAGTAGTTAGTAGTCAAAACTATCGCATATGCCGCACTGCATGTCCTAATACTGTACATGAACGGTCTCGGTATCTTGATTACATAACTGTATGGTGTATTACGTAATTGTATGGTGTGGTTTTATTGCTGATTTCATTTTTTGCTCCTTTATTTTGCGAAGAATTCTCCTCAAAGGTGTTTCCCCTCACGGCCCGTTACTCTCACATAGTGGTCGAAACTTGAACTATTATTCTATATTGAAGTTTTCTTTTACTGTGATCCATATAAGGCATATATCAGGTTTCAACAAAATAGCCTACCAGAATGGGCATAGTCTACATAGATCTAAATAGGCTTTGTATCTATAACGAAAGTAAATTTCAACTAAATAGATGCAATTTAGAATAGCTAAATTTTTTTTTAATTCCAAAGGCACTTTAATTAATTATCTACTAAAGGTGCTGTAATTAAAAACATAAATTAATAATCCATTTTTAGAACCCTTCGATAAAAAACAAGAGTAAAACACGAATAAAAATTCACGTAAAGAGAACACGTTATAATAATAATAACAATGTAATAAATTCGAAATATATTTGGACTGAAAATTAACTAAAAGTTTAAGAATATTTATGTTCATAATAAATGAAACCTGGGTAAACATTCTCGGTAAATTAAAATTATGATTGAAACCAAAATAATTTTTAACATATTTAAATAGAGAGTTTATTTAATTATGTTAAAAATGAGAGAAAACAAAGATCTCTTGAGAAAAAACAAAGATTGATTATGACATTTTTCATTTAATGAATAAAAATTATGGATATATTTCTCATCGGTTCGATGTAGTTCTGGATGAGAAAATTCAGCAACAAATTTGCTAAAAATAATAAAAAATAATATTTTACAGGAAAAAAGAAAATCTGAAAGAATTTAGATTTTGACGTCGCAACAGAGGGTTTGTTATGGTTTTCTATTTTCGCTGAGTATCGCAGGCTGCTAATCTCCTCTTTGATTCACTCCTGCTAACACATTTATTTTGTCTTTTCAGCTTAGTTATTTTACTTAGTCGAGCTAGTGTAATAATAAAGATATTTAATATTTCTTATATCTGAGGTTTTTAGCATTTCTATTTAATTTAATTATGTTAAAAAAGTAGTAAAAATATTCTTATAAATTGTGTTTAATGTTTTCAAATCAATCTGAAAGTTAAATATTTCAGGCTTTACTGAATGGCAACACCACGAAGTGTGGTAAATAAAATCCGGCAGTGGCACCACATTGCTTTCGAATAGTCAAGTTTGTTGATTAAAATTGAAATTACTGTAGCCGATGTTAATATTTCCAAATTCCTAAAGCTCATTAACTAGGAATTGACCCAAATTAAGAATATTAATAACAACTTCGAAAAATTCGTTAGTATTTACAATCTGTTTGGACGTGCCTGTAATTAATTAATTTTCATACTTAGTTCTACCAGCCCAAAATAGCTTTCCTACCTACCTGTATGGCTTTGAAAAGGCTGCCCCCTTTTTTCCCTACTCAAGTATTCAGTTTTCTTAGAGCATCCCTCAAGCAACATTGACTCCTCCTTTCAATAGCCAATCAAACAGATGCTAACCATAACGCAAGCCTCTTCACATTGCTTCTCTGAAATCAAATAATTCGAAGATTTGTTACTAGAATGCTTAGCAACAATCCCGCACCCTACGCCAAACGAAGTCACCAGTATTATCAATAAAGAAAGCCAGAGGCTTCGGTGATATTTCAAACAGAGATATAAGGAGGGCCTCTGCTGCCCAGATGGTATAGTGATTAGGAGAGCCTTCTGCCGTACCGAAGTGCCCGGGTTCGAATCTTGGAGAACGCATGGATGTTTGTAAATGTATAGTGCCTTTGCGGCAGGGAGCACTCTAAGTACATATCGAGCGGAAAGTCCTCTTGTGTGGTTTGGTGGAAAAGGAGTGGGAGAATCTCGATCGCCCCGAGGGTACTGTCCATCAAAATTGGGGCGGTGGTAGAAGTGCAACCTCCTTGAGACTATCGCAACCATTTTTCATGAAATACACGGAAAAGACAACAACTGAAACAAAATAAGAGGATCGTCGTCCTAAATTACTAACATTAGGCACAAATTTCTTGTAGAAATTATGCATAAATTGCCATAAGTTAAATTCCGTTTAATAACGTGCATTAACTAAATTATGATGAAAAGATCAGCCCAACCGGATAATGATTAGTAACTCTAACTGCCGTATCGACTTCCAGAGAAGGCATGGCTGTTTAAATGTATAGTATCTGTGCAGCATGGAGGCACTAGTCGAAACTCCTGTAGAGTTGGTAGGGAAAGAGGAGTGGCAGACCCTTGGACCCGTTCCCTCCGCTTGCTTTCCTTCAGATTGGGGGCGGGGCAGAACTGAGCAAAGTCGTATTGTCAGTTGTATGATGACCAAGCCTCCTGCCAACGACAGCGCAATCTTGCCTCCTTGCCACGTTGAATTTCGTGGGCTTGCTCTGGTATCAGACAAGTGAAATTAGTCACAAAAATAACAATAACATAATGAAAAGCATAACAAACATTTAAAATTATCAAGATATCTCTTTAATGTTTATCAGTTCCTCAACCAGTTAGTCAGTAACAGGCCCGATTAAATTTGGAAATAAATTAAAGTTGAAATTAAATTAGTTGAACAGCAAAACTCTGAAAATGGACTATGAGCATGAAAAATTAACATCTTACGTTAATGCTTACTTAGAGCTTTTTTTTTTTTTTAATTCTTTCCGTTCCTCTGCTCTATCTGTTTCCTAGGATTGTATTCTACGATTTTGATTTTGTGAGAATATTTTGCATGTTAATTGAAAACAATAATACAGATAAGGATGGACTTCTGACTAGTGCGGTTTTAGTTCTCCCGTCGTAAGTCGATTCTGGCGTAATTCGGAGAAGAGCTTATTTTATTCTTGATACCTTTGGTAATACTTTTATAAATTAGGCTTTCATTTAACATCATATCGGTTTAAGAATGTATGGACTTATGTTCCATTTATGAGATACATAGATGCACTCATTTCCAAAATTACTTTTGCATGCATGAAATCACGGATTTCTCAAATGTGAATTATAATTCTATGAATTTATGGGAATTGATACATAATAT